TCTCTTCTTTTATTTCGTTTTTTTTCTTGTGTTTATATATATATTTTTCTTATTGTGTGAGGTGACACCCCATACTTGGCGGGCTCCGGCCAAGAAGCAGCAACCGGGCCTGCCCTTGGCCGACCCCCCTAAGGTTGTGGAGCGTATACGGGAAGGCCCGCGACCGATAGCTGAGCGAGGTACTGATGGTTTAAGGGACACTGGACCCGGTTTCCAGAAGCCTTATGCTGAGTAATGGCCTCAACCGGGTTGACATGTAGGGGTGTGTTACCGGGCCCCAGTGGTCTCATTTCGAATGAAAGTGCTATGTTTCTCAAAAAAAAAAAAAAAAAATCTGCGAACACTTTTTTTTTTTTTTTTGAATTTGTTCGTACTCCGTTCCATTGGTGGGGAGCTGCACCGACTGGAAACCGGGTCCAGCGTCCCTTACAATAAAAAATTATCTGTGACCCTCATAAAAGAATAGTTGCGGGATCTTAGGGAAGAAAAAAGTCTTCCACCTCATCCCACAAATGACGTGAGACCACTAGTTGATTGTTCTCTTTAAACCGGATCCAGCGGAACTCAGAAGCCCAAAGCTTACTCATCGAGCTACGGGCCGCTGATGAATCATGAAAATCATACCTGATCTTCCTCCCTTCGGCCAGAATTAGGTTTCTAACTGTAGATTTGAATGTATTAGGAATACGAGAAACAGACCAAAATAAATTATTAAATTTGCGGTCTCTGCGAGCTAACCAGAGCACCAAGAAACCTACAACGCGGAATTTATTAGTTGTACAAGCTCTTAAAGAATCCGTTCTGTCTCCGAGCAAGACCGGGTCCCTGGTCCAGTAGGAGAAGTCCTCGTATGCCGCGAACCTAAGTCTGGCAATCCTGTCCCAAAAGCCTGTAGCTACAACACATTCCCACCATAGGTGAGTTGAATCCTCAAGTGACGTATGTACACAGGCCTCACAAGATACTGCGATCCCCATCCCTCTTTCTGCACACCATGCTGCCGTGAGCACACATCTGTGTAGGTGGAGCCATTGTAGTCCTGCCAACTTGATCTCTAATACTCTGAGAATTAAACAGATGTAGAATTTTACCCAGTTTAGGTCTGGTCCTCTGATCTGTAAATTGATAGAGCATCTCCTCCATGTCTCCCAAATCCCAAACTGCAAATCTGCGAACTTCTGCAATGGCTATGGCAAATTTCCCAACCCCCACAGGCCACGTACATTTGCTACTCAAAATGCTACAGTTGATCCAATGGTGGTCGTGTATCACTACAAGAGCCACAAAATTTTTGCCCTCTTGAAAGAAAGGGCCCTAGTGAGCCTTAAATCTGCCAAGAATCGAGGCCTAGCTCAGTTGGTCAGGCACGCAAGTGGCACTCAGGGGGTCTTGTGTTCATGCTTAGCGCCCGCCACCGAGAGGCTGCTGATGCTCATAGGGGGAGGGGAGCGGAGGGGAGGCACAGTGACTTGCCCATCGAAGAGGATCGGTCCTGATGCTACCGGCTGACCGCTGGCAGCTATCGCCCACCTGCAGGTAGGTGCAGCTCCCGCATGTTCCCTCCTTGGAGGCTTGAGCACGGATGTGGCTGCTATGGGGTTCCCCATAAAACTATAAGGACAATAAAAAAGGAGTCGAAATATCGACAAACTTTCAAGTAAACATTAATCATCAGCACCCTACGACAATCATTAGTGCCATAACGACCATGTCAAAACCAGTCAAACCACACCAAATTCGGAAAGACAAAGTAGTGGAAATAGACAGAAGAGATAGAAGATAAAGACACAGGATACTTGAAAAACGTCCCGAACGCGACTTTTCAAAGATATAACATGAAGAACAAGAACCAGCAGATGTGGCCCGACTAGTTTCGGCTGGCCGCTCCCAGCACTCATCAGGGGCCTTTAGTCGCAGAGGTATGTGTATAGGCGTTGACATCCTATATATATCCTGTGAGACCATACTGAAGATGGGAACTTCTACGCCTATTGCGACGAGATTCAAGAAACTTCTATACTCGCCTCTAACTACAACTCCGCACACTAAGGCCAAAAACTGAGGGAAAGGGATCGAATCCAAATCTTTCTTCAAAAAGGCATATGATATCAAAAAACCCATTCGCTTAAAAACAATATTCAAAGGTCAAACGATCGAACACTTCCCCGGTGACGCACAATATCTTCAAAAAGTCTTACTGCTTTGAAAATTCATCCACCTTCACGAATCCGAGCCCGACCAACCACTGGGTCCCAGATTCTATTCAAAACATTTTTTTGCCACGGACAACCTGGGCCCATCCAACCCCTGGGTCCTAGAACATTTTGACCACTGCGATCATCAGTATCAACACACAATCTTCGCGACCCCATCGGGCCTATACCAAAAAACGACCCCAATTAGTCAACACTGGAAGCCACCGATCCCAGCAACCACCATTTTTTTTTGAAAAATTAGTAAGAGCACTGTCGAAATAATCATCAGGATACCCACGTCTCCATAATTCGCACTTCAAAGTGAATAGAAATGACAATTCAGCACCTGGTATTGTAGTGAAGGCACGACAACGATGGTGAAACGACCCAATTACGACCATCTTCTGCTGCCGACTAGAAAAAGGGAAAAAATCCTGAATGCTCTGAAAAACGAGCGGCTCCTTAATTCCAACGCTCTGATTCTTGTGTATGGCAAAGCATGCAATCCTCACCGGATTCATCAATACCTTTACTGTACAACCAATGAAATCCCAACTCAGACCCTCACTAGTTTGCTCCAAGACAAGTTTATTGTCATAACATCCTTGGAATGACTCAAGCACTTTCTCTGCCTTACACAACGACTCAGAACATATTCGTCGAAACTTCACAAAGACCAAGACATCATCTACGATGTGAACACCATATATCAACTTCCTGTCAGCACCTTACGATGACAAAAAAGAAAACTCATTGAATGCACAAAGAAGGCAGGCGAGCGCAGGGCTAGTACATTTACCCATTGGGATACTAACTATTTGCCGCAGAATCTGACCAGAGGCAATAACGTACGTGTTGCTCAATTCATACCTGATATAGGAGAGGATAAACTGAAAACTAATCAACACCCAACCAACGACGCTTTTTCCTTTTGTCAGTCTCACCGCCTTCCCTCGTTTACAAAACAACACACCAACGAAACCTTCACCAAACCAGTAGTCGGAAACATATTCTAAAGCATTAACAATAGACTGGTATGGGAGATTGGAGAACATCTCCTTAACATCAAATGATCCACCCAAAAGACATTCACCATCCTTCAACTGCCGATTGACCAAACCAATCCTTTCAACCAATTCCGTTGTACTCCTGAGATTAAAATGATAGCGAGAAGGGAGCTTCCACAACAATAAATTCACAGTCCGTGCCACACGTTTGCTACACAGCGCACTTCCTTCAGGAAAGGAGGGGCATATCGGTCTCCAACGGCCCACATCCTTGTGTTTTGGAAGACAATATGCGTGCCCAAGCGAGCCGGCCTTATTCCAACAACCAGCCTTACGAAACCCTCACTATCAAATTTCCTACGACACTCCTCCACCACCTAGGATTCGCAGTCGGAACAACGAACAAAAGCTGGATTGCGAAGAAAAAACTTTGACATCCCCGAACCATAGATCGTGGGACAACAAACATAGGTATCACCGACATTGTGATCTATTGGTGAACAAGTCAAACCATCCAACCTTCTTCTTTGATTGAGCACCTCATCCATACCACAACGCACAGACTGATCAAGAAGGTCACCACGAACCAAGCACTTCGACAAGGAAGTCAACGAGACACCGGAGGATTCCAATTTAGGAAGGGAAGAAAATGAATCAAAGGAAGCCAAAATTTGTTTCTTAAGACAAAATAAAGGATTACTACCAGAAGGGCGTAGAACATTCTTAGAGTTAGACATAAGCGAAGGAAAAAGATTGTCAGAGTTTAAACGAAAGGCAACATGACCCTCCACCCTTGGAAATGTCGAATCCGCGTTCTCACATCCACAGGTAAATTCCTCACACCGTGCTGTCTGACGATGATTGTGGATCAGATCACCAACCATTCTATTTCTACACCAAACTATCCTCATTCGTCGAACAAATAAGCGCTTCCATGCCGGATCGATAGCTAGTTTCTCAACCAAACCAGCACATACAGAACGCACTTCTGTCTTACTCAACCTGTTATCATAGATAATGTGAACGACGAGTCTCTGTCGAACGGAAACACCGAATCGAGATTGGATAGCTTTAGATAATAAAGTTCGTAGCCGACACCTCGTATGTCTTTCCTGAAAACATCTGACAGAAGGGAAGGCATAAATCAATTGTCAGAATTCCCAAGAACGAAGATCAATACGAGAGGGCGGATGGCTTAACAGACGTGCAAGACGAGGTTTGAACGGAAGAGATTTGAAACAGTATGGAACACCAGACTAAAAAAATAGAACTACCCCACTCTTCAACCAACCACGGGATGACTTCAATAGATCACATTCAAACTCACACTGTAGGATAGACGACCCATAACAACGTTTGACAACTTTCCAATTGTCCAATAGCAGCGGTCCTCCTCGACACACAACATCACACTGACTTACAGCATTATCCCTGCAGTAATTCAAAATCCTCAGCAAACTGCACGAGATTATCCCCAGAGAGGAATGGAAAGATAGCAAAGTCTTATGAGCAGATGAGGTCAAATCTTCAGATCGTACCGAAAACCTTCTATCACAAACTTTCGATCTCTCTCTTTTTCCTTTCCTGCATCTCCTATTCTTCCGAGGTTTATCACGACAATTCAGGGATGGCGAAAAGTAACGGATAAAAAATCGCTCGACAGATAGGAGATCATCACTCGAACATCCCCGTAATGGAAGAGCCACATACTGATGTGCCCCACATACTGATGTGCCCCACATACTGATGTGCCCCACACCTTCGTTACCACCGATAAAGATTCTCATTTCGTCTACCACCTTGTATGAAATTTTGATTACTCGTCCGATATACATGCTCGTTCCACTGAACTGATAAATCGCGAGATGTACTGCCAACGTAAACGTGGCGGCACCAGGGCGAGACTAGTACATACACCAAAGGTCCACTAACCTCATCTAACGACCCGACTTCCCTCAACCAATCAGAGATATGGGGAGTGAACTTACAGGCCCAAGGAATAAGACCAAGTAGAATCAGAATAACAACAACAACTTGAAACAGAGCATCAATTTTCTTGTCCCGCAGAAGTGAAAAAGAGGTAAATCTTAGCTTGGAACAAGATTGCGCAATCGACCAAAGGCTGGCCGCGTTCGGGAGGGACCCTAAGAAGAAACAGAATCCCTCCCGTCATTCACATCCTGTCCATCAACACGATCGTCCACCAAATCATCAGAAATCTCTACGTGCGCAATCTTACCTTTATCTTTAGGATCACCAAAAGCGAGCTCCACCCTTCTCCCGATAATATCATCAATCGTCTCCTGTAGAGTAGTATACTTCACACCTTCTCTCGCACAAATTTCCATCACATCATCTTTCTTCAAATTACGAAATTCGCGTCTCGCCTCCTTGATGAATCCTTCTCGGTCGTTCTCCTTAGCACCCGCTGGTCCGACTGTAACCTTCTTCTTTCCCTTCCCAGTTCGTTGTACAGTACAACCTGCGGCTTCTTCCATCCGTTCTCTCAGATTCGAACACGATGTCTGGCGAGTCTTTTCTGCCTCCATGCGTGCGATAGCTTCCTTTGCTTTGTCAAGCTCTTGCTCCGCCTCTCTACGCCGATTCAATTCCTGCAAACGTAACTCCTTCAGTGATGCCACCTCCAATCTATGCAACTGCGTCAGCTCCATCGGGTTGCCCGCAGGTCTTGCAATTGACTTCGCAGGTGTTGTTGGCAAATGACTCTTTAATTTTGAATCTGGCGTCATGGCGATGCACCCACGTTTGTTCCCGGGTCGAAGAGCTTCCTTCTTCCACACCTGGGCTTCTTGTAAAGCTTCTTCACGCATTTGCTTAAGTAGCTTGATCTCTTCTTCTAACAACTGGATTCGTCCCGCCGTCCCGGCAACCTGTTCAACTTTTGCCTTCATTTCTTCGTGCTCATGCATGATACATGCAATCGCTTCGTCATTCCCGGTGGAACGAACACCACCACCCTTGATCTCGACACCCGAACTCCTGGCTTGTAATCGAAGCTTCTTAACTTCCTTTTTCAAGGAGGATACTTCTTCATTGGCATCTACGACCTTCTTCCCTGCCATCGCCTCATAGCATTGAGTGAAGAGGTCAATTCAACACGAAATTCATCTCTCTCTCTCTTATCCCTAGCTTTTCGCTCCTCTTCTTCTCGCTCCCTCTGCGTACGCTCTTCCTCAACTTTTTTCGCATTCAACTTCGCCATCTCTGCATCATACCAAGTCTTCATTTGTGAAACTGTGCCTTCCAACGCGTCAACTCTCTCGTTAGTATTCACCCAACCATTGCCTCTACCATACTGATTGTTATTATTTACCACAGCAGAGGACGAAGGGGCGCTGGAAGGAGGAGGAGGAGGCGGAGGTGGTAGACCAGGTGCAGGAAGAGCAAGAATGGGGGCCTGGGCAGAAACATCAACAGAATTAGAATTCGCGGTGTTATTAGGAACTTGACGATGTGGGCACCATCGTGCAAAATGATTGGGATCTCCACAGTTGAAACAAGTTCTAACAGACGACGAAAGGTTAGCCATGATGATGATACACAACACACTACGAAGCCACACAAACGCGTAGTACGATTCCTACGGTGGTTACTTCGCGTAAGCAAGGAGTCGAAATATCGACAAACTTTCAAGTAAACATTAATCATCAGCACCCTACGACAATCATTAGTACCATAACGACCATGTAAAAACCAGTCAAACCACACCAAATTCGGAAAGACAAAGTAGTGGAAATAGACAGAAGAGATAGAAGATAAAGACACAGGATACTTGAAAAACTTCCCGAACGCGACTTTTTGAAGATAAAACATGAAGAACAAGAACTAGCGGATGTGGCCCGACTAGTTTCGGCTGGCCGCTCCCAGCACTCATCAGGGGCCTATATATATCCTGTGAGACCATACTGAAGATGGGAACTTCTACGCCTATCGCGACGAGATTCAAGAAACTTCTATACTCACCTCTAACTACAACTCCGCACACTAAGGCCAAAAATTGAGGGAAAGGGATCGAATCCAAATCTTTCTTCAAAAGGGCCTATGATATAAAAAAACCCATTCGCTTAAAAACAATATTCAAAGGTCAAACGATCGAACACTTCCCCGGTGATGCACAATATCTTCAAAAAGTCTTACTGCTTTAAATTCATCCACCTTCACGAATACGGGCCCGACCAACCACTGGGTCCCAGATCCTATTCAGCTTCGACAGGTGATTGAATTGGTTGGGCTGGAATTAAAAAAAAAAAAAAAAATCTTCTTTTTTTTTTTTTTTTTTTTTTTTTTTTTTCAAAGCGGGCCCAGTGCCCAAGGCTGATATTATGAATAATGCCGGGAGACCGGCCCGGCGTCCCTCACAAAAGTTGAACAGCCCGAGGCTTGCTCCCTGCTACTCCGGCCGGGTGCAAGTCCAGGCTGCCGAAATCACAACAGTTCTAACATCGCGAAGATTTACACCGTAATCGTAATGTAATGTAACCTTGGCAGAGGCACCAGCAAGTCTACCCTACTGTACTAGGGGCCTGAATTTGTGAACCACCACAAGATTCCTCAACCACGAAAGATAAACTGTAATCCTATTCTTGGCAGTAAACAAATCGTCATTTCCCAAATAATGTGCAAAAATTTCAGAAGACAACCAACTTAAAAAACCCCGCGTTCAGCAACAGTTAATAAAAACACAGAATCCCTATTTTACTCTTGGTATTGGAACGGTTTTCAACAAAGCTGTTTGCAAGTACCACTACCACAAGAATCTCGTGAATCTTTCCGTTTCGCACGATTCGCAAGAAACCCTAATAAAACAACAATCAATTAACAACTCGCTCCCACGCAAAACAAAACAGAGATTGCCAACGAAGAAACAAAACAAGGCTATGACTAACACGTTCACTATCTATTCACGACCAGCATAGTACTCACCGATTTCGCCGCGGGCCGCCCTTGATTGCTCGCAGGCGGGATGTTCCCACAACAGCTCCATCCCACGCAAAACAAAACAGAGATTGTTGACGAAGAAAACAAAACAAGACTATGACTTACACGTTCACTATCTATTTACGACCAACATAGTACTCGCTGATTTCGCCGCAGGCCGCCCTTGATTGCTCGCAGGCGGGATGTTCCCACAACAGCTCCATNTTCACTATCTATTTACGACCAACATAGTACTCGCTGATTTCGCCGCAGGCCGCCCTTGATTGCTCGCAGGCGGGATGTTCCCACAACAGCTCCATATCAAGACCGAAGGCCACAGCCCTCAATCAGTTGCAGAAGGCATATGAATCAGTAGAACCAGCTGAAACTCTGATATAATCGCGATACTCGGATCCCGCCCGTCGAGCGTCCTCACATCAGCCACAGCCGCCATCCTTCCGCGCCGGATCAGGATTACCGACCCAGTCGACCGGGATTAGCCCATGGCAAGGGCTCTTCAAACCCTCGCAGCAGCGTGCCCCACAGTGCCCTCACACTCTATCCCCCACGCTCCAGCCACCCCAACAACGAGCTTTGCCTAGGCACCACCATCTTTTCGGTAGCACCTGTGCGATCCCCCATTACCCCAACAACGAGCTTTGCCTAGGCACCACCATCTTTTCGGTAGCACCTGTGCGATCCCCCATTGCCCAAGCACCGCCCCCGACGACGCTCCCCCATTGCCCAAGCACCGCCCCCGACGACGCTAACACCGAAGCCGTGTAGCGGCATCTTCAAAAATTCCAAGACGGGCTTTACGCTGACTGCTCCTTCGGCCTTTAAAGGGCCACAGAGGGTACTGACTGGCTCGTTACTAACACCAAAAGAAAAACAAAAACAAAAAAAAGCAAAAAAAAAAGAAAAACAAAAACAAAAACAAAAACAAGCAAAAAACAAAGAAAAACAAAGGAAAGGAAAAAAGAAGGCTTCTGTAAAAAAAAAAAAAAAAAAGAAGGCTTCCGTTTCTTCATGCGCGGGCAAGTGTTGAGCAGAGCGCACAGAGTGGTTCCAACTCACTGATGAGTGCCAACTCATTCATGCTAAACTATCTTGCCGGAGTGCCACGAGGCTCGAAATGGCGGTAACCGTGGTGAATGGCCCATCATCCCTGAGTCAGCCAGTGGTCGTCTAACGGCCGACAGACTGGATTTTTTTCAACTTCCCTGTGGACGGAATCAAGGTCAGGTGCATCCAGACCGGGCCGCAAGGCCCGCAACAGCTATGAAATCGTGGCACCCCGTGCACTCGAGGGGCCGCACCAAGTGGCACCCTGCAAATGCCATATCCGTGCCACACGTGCACGAAATTTAGCTTTAGGTCAATGCTAAGGGCCAGTTGCAATACTTCCATTCGCCGAAATTGTGAATGAATCAGGACTGGAAAGTTGACCTGATCCGTTTAAAATGTCGGCGAAATGCGAGTACAGTGCAACTACCGGTAGGTCCTTGGCAAGAGCGTAGCTCCAGCGAAGCACCTGACCAACGACTCCCTAGCCGGGCTGGTCGGGTGGGTCAGATCCCACAACCCTGGATTGTTCATTTTTACCCCTTGATTGCGAAGATCGACGGTCAGAAATGAAAAATAGGGGATAGTGGGATCTGGCGGGCTGGTCGGGTGTCCGCATTTGGGCGGGCCGGTCGTGTGTCGGCACTTCTTAGGCGGGCTGGTCGTGTGTCGGCACTTTTTAGGCGGGCTGGTCGTGTGTCCGCACCTTGGGTGGCCTTTATAATCTAAAGACGGTCCATTTCCGAGTCAGGAATTCGATAGCGGTTCTCTTTCTGTGTCTCTCTCACTTCCTTTCATCGCGTGCGCGATCGTGTGACCGCGGTAGTCTGCCATCTCCCTAAAGAGAAGTCGCTCGAGGAGGCGGTGTAGGGTTTGAGCGGGCTTTCATTTCACTGCGCCATCGTCTTAGGGTTGTAGGAGGATGGGGAAAGGAGTTGGTGGTGCGTTGCGCACCTTGGTTGGTGTGATACTGCTGCTAGGATGCCTGCTGGAATACTCCGCACCTGGTTGCGCCGCTCTTGGCGGTTCTGCGCAAGCAGCAGCCACGACGCCGGAGGCTTGCCTCCGCTCGGCCGTCACGCGGAAGAAGAAGACGGTCCTGCAACTAACTGCTGACGTGGTTCTCTCGGCGGATTTGCCCGTGCTGAAGTGTCCCGATCTGGTGATCGTGGGCAAGTGCAAGACGCCAAAAGGCCGCCCGAGAAAGTGTAAGATAGACGGAGCAAATAAGTTCAAGGGGTTTCAATTCCTCGGTCAGGAAGCGAATCTGACTCTGAGCAATGTCGAGCTCACGAGGTTCTCTTTGTTGGTCTATGCTGCCGCCAGCGGCGACGTCGTTATCACGGACTGCGTGCTGACAGACCTGCGGGCCAGTGCGAGCAGCAGAGGCGTGGTGGCAGTTGAGAACGTCGGCTTGACGGTAAGGAACTCGTTGATTACCCGAAGCAAGGGGACGATCCTTGTGGCGGGCTATGGGGGCTTGGATATGGCGAACGTCATTTTCCGAGGAAACAGCGGAGGACCGGTCCTTGACCATTACAGAGCTGGACTTCGGTGCGACAAGTGCGGCTTCGAGTCCAACACCGCGAGCGGCGATCACGCAGTTGTGGAGCCCAACTACGGTGTGGCGACCTTCTCGCGCTCGTGGTTCGTTGGAAATTCGCGAACGAAGGTAGGAGCGAGGGGCGGCGCAGTTTACGTCGGCGGCGGGATGACGCCAACGTATTTCTGCAACTGCCGTTTTGCGAATAACACGATCCTGTTGGCGGGAGGCAGGAAGAAGGTGGAACACGTGTACGTCGCCAAGGGCAATGCGGTTGAATTCTGTCCGAAGCGGCCATCGACGGGACTCGGCGTCGCATCGGGCGCCTCAGTGAAAGACTCTTGCGGAAACTGCTGACGTTGAAACGGATTGCCGAGGGGCAAAGGTGTGGCAGAGGGGGGGAGGCGCGCAGTGTCAATGGCATTCCAGTTTACGTCGGCGGCGGGATGACGACAACGTATTTCTGCACCTGCTGTTTTGCGAATAACACGATCCGATTGGCGGGAGGCAAGAAGAAGGTGGAACATGTGTACGTCGCCAAGGGCAATGCGGTTGAATTCTGTCCGAAGCGCCCATCGATGGGACTCGGCTTCGCATCAGGCGCCTCAGTGAAAGACTCTTGCGGAAACTGCCGACGTTGAAACGGATTGCCGAGGGGAAAGGTGGGGCGGAGGGGGAAGGCGCGCAGTTTCAATGGCATTCCACCCCGCTCCCTGCTCGCGCGACCTGTCGGTGAGTTCTCGGTGCGGTAATGACAGCAGCAGAGAGGTGATACTTGTTGCTCGTCTTAGCTGCTCTTTAGGAGAAGCAGTGAGGTTAATAACACTTGTCTTGAGCTGAGGTTTACTTGTGTTGGTTGGAACGTCGAACACTATTCTTATAGAGAACGGTCCGCGCGGCATGTCTTCTTTTTTTATATATTAATATTATCATTATCATTCTTGAAACTCGCGTTTTGTCCTTCAGAGCTGCAAATAAATATGTGAAGAGTTTTGTGTTCGCGCCTACATTTTTTCAGGGAAATCTTTGTTGATATGATATGAGGAATGACATCCACAGATCGAGATGAAGGCAAGCTACCTTCTTCCCCCGAATAAAACGTACGGTCATTATAGCTGTATTTGAGGCATCTTTCAGTATAGATACAGCTATAATGACCGTACGTTGTAGTCGGGGAAAGAAGGTAGAAGAGGTACTCCAAGCTAGAAGGGTCGATTTTTGCGCTCGAACCTTCTTCCGAAGCAAGAGCCATTTCTCGATTTGTGGGGATCATTCCGGATTGCACATCGGACTGAAAGCGTATGCTGTTAAAATTGGAACGATACAGAGAAAGAGATGATTAGCATGGCCCCTGCGCAAGGATGACCCGCATAAATCGGGAAATGGTCCAAATTAAAAAAAAAAAAAAAAAGGAAAAAAGGAAAGTGTATGCCTCCCCGATGAACTATGCGTGCGTATCTTTCTTGCGACGTATCATTTTCTTCTTATGAACAGCTGAGAAAACGCTTGGGTGTCGTTAAGCGAGAAATCCGCAAGCAGCTTGAGTGTATGCCTACCCGATGAACTATGTTTCTCGCTTGAAGGCTTTTTTTTTTTTTTTTTTTTTTTTTAGAGGGCGACGGCCTTGAAATATCGTCATCGAGTAGACCCACCTTAGGTGTTATATCATTGCGTTCATCTAGGTTCATCAGGATTCGAACGTGGGTCTGTTATTCAGCAGTTATTTTCGAAAAGGTATGAACGGCCAAAAAAAGAAAAAAAAAAGGGGCCTTGCTGAAGGTTGCGGAAGGTTTGCACGAAGAAATCGAGCCTTTTACCTTCTTCCTCCGAATACAACTTACGGTCATTATAGCTGTATGTATTTGGGGTATCTTTCAGTCTAAATACAGCTATAATGACCGTACGTTGTATTCGGGGGAAGAAGGTATAGCTCTTAAGTAGTTCTGCTTGCCTTCATCTGTGTTTCTGCTTCTTTGGTGTCTATCCCGATTCTCTCTCCACAAATCAAGCCACCCCCGAATACAACGTATTTGGGGTATCTTTGAGTCTAAATACAGCTATAATGACTGTACGTTGTATTCGGGGGAAGAAGGTATAGCTTGAAGTAGTTCTGCTTGCCTTCATCTGTGTTTCTGCTTCGTTGATGTCTATCCCGATTCTCTCTCCACAAGTCGATGCCACCCCCGAATACAACGTATTTGGGGTATCTGTCAGTCTAAATACAGCTATATTGACCGTACGTTGTATTCGGGGGAAAAAGGTATAGCTTGAAGTAGTTCTGCTTGCCTTCATCTGCGTTTCTGCTTCTTTGATGTCTATCCATATTCTCTCTCTCCACAATTCGATTCCAGTTGATCGCTACCTCCTCGTTGGTGTGTCGTGGTAAGGGTGAGAAAGGACGTGGCGGAGGACTGAGGCAGAGCTGTCATGGATTGGATTTGAAAAGCGGGTGTATGGGAAAGGGGGGGGGGGTCGTGTCTTGTTTATATGAAATGAAATTTGGATTTGGAAAGAAAAAAAAGAAAAAAAAAAAGGATTTGAGGGAGAAACAGAAGGGGCCAGGTCGTGGAGTAGGATTGACATGGGCGGGTCAGGAC